TCTCTCTCTCTCTCTCTCTCTCTCTCTCTCTCTCTCTCTCTCTCTCTCTGAGCTACTTTCAGTTGAAAGCGGGGATGAACCCCTTTATTTTTCTTATTTCTTTTTTTTGTTTTGTTTTGTTTTCCCGTTTTTTTCGTGGGCTTCACATGGATGTTCGGGATGCCTGCGCCCGGTAGTCCCATCCTCGGCATGGGTCGGCGTACCGGTCGGCCGAGGCTCAGACTCGATAGCTGGGCCAGGTACTGGTGGTTTAAAAATTGAACCTCACTTTAACTCCAGACACGGTTATGACTGGAAACTATTTTACCCTTCGCGCCCGGGAGACGTTCCCACTGCCACTAGTGAGTCTCCCATTCCCGCTGGTGGCGCCGCCACCCATATTAGGGCTTCAGGATTTTACGAACCCTGCGAAGATCTTGTCCCTTCATCATATTAGTTTCCCCAATTCTGCCAATTCTACCATTGAAATGTAAGTTATAAAAATACAAGCAAGAGTTCCCAGGATGACCATAGGTCGAGCGTTGGACACTCCCCACACCAATCAAGGCTTGGGTGACCTTGCATCACTGTTCCTGCGCTTGAAGAACAACCACTTACAGAAACCAAACTTCAGTACATCCCGGTAGGCAGAATGTCAAACCCTTCGTCATAACAACTACGTGCACTCCGTGGTTGACTGTCCGCAAGCTTGGCTCTCACCCATAACATTGTGATGCTCAACCTCACGCCTTGTGCTGCTTCCCGGTCGGAGGGTTTTGGCTTGGGGAAGGGGGCCCGGGGAAAGGCAACAAAGATGGGGTGTGCCAAGGATTTTTGGAAAATTGAGTGTGGGGACACAGACAGAACTGAAATCCCCCGTGTTGATCCGACGGTAGTAAGAAGAAGGTCCATTACAGCGTGGGTTTTAAGGGAGAAAAAGGCGGGTGCGGGACTTGTAGCTATGGGAAATTCATTCTAAAAAGTATCGCTGGACTTCCCAGCGAGCCGTCGCTCTTCGTTTCGCGTGAAAGGGGGTGGGTACACACGTGGTATCCCGTTTTCAGATGAGGTTTTGTCGGCGCTCGTTACACAACTCTGAGTCTGACGTGGAGGGCCTCAACCGAGTAGCCTTTTCTTTATGCTTGTGACGCGCCCAACTTCACGCCCTGCGCTGTCTTCCATTCGGAGTGCTAGAGGTGCGAAAAGAAGGCCCAGAAAAGCAGCAAGATGGGGTGTGCCAAGGATTTTTGAAAAATTGAGTGTGGGACACAGACATAACTGAAATCCCCCGTGTTGGCCCACTGCGCTATGGATCTTCGTTTAGAGTGGAAGGGCTTCGGTACACTCTGCGTGTCCCGTTTCCGTATCAAGTCCCGACGTCGCTCGTTGGTCAGTTCCGAGTCCAACGTGGAGGGTCTCAGTCGCGTGGCTCTTTCCTTGTGCTCGTCTTTACTCCGTATCCGGTAGTGGAAGCCCTTTGATTCGTAGTGATCGAAACGCTGGCACTCCGTGCACAGGGTTCGAGGCCAATGGGGCGCCACTGTCGTCCACGGAATGACGATCAGCTCGTTAAATAGCAATAGTACTGAGTAAGGCGGGTAGTGCGTATCGACAATGACGAAGCCCCCGTCCACGAATCCAGAACAACGATTTCGGGAGAGAAGTAATATCGTCCGCCGATCCGTGCCACAGCTTCTCGTACGTCTCACTCGCAGACACGTGTCCTTTCCTCGTTGTAAGGGAAGGGGCGCGTTGGCGAGGGAGATATGGGAGGCTGGCGCCCGATTGAGGTACGCCCGTCAGTCCACATGTCACTCAATCAGCATGAGTTTGCAGAAACCCTGGGATGTCATCAAAAAGCACAATCGTAAACCAACTAACATTTTCCTTCCTTTCGACACGAGGGAAGCATCGTACACCCATGCAATAATCGGGGTTGAGTTTCGATGGATCAACCCGCGGCTCAGGTTCAGCAGACCAGATCGACAAACATCCGAGGCGCCTGGCTTTTTCGAGGCTGCCCTATAGACTGCCTGCAGATGTCGTGCAGTATAAGGCAGATGGCATGCGCAGTGTATTCAGAACGACAGATCTAAGCACTCTTGCATTCTCGTACAAAATTCGTCGAGTTCTGGGTCTAATCAACATAAAAAAATCACATACAAGCATTCTTATGCATACATCCACTCTGAAAGGTGCGAAATGACAATGGTGCGCAAATCAGAAATAAATCGGGGGATTGTACACACGCATCCACGGTTCACAAGACGAGATGATTGAGTTCCTTTGCATCCGGGGATTACCCAGGAAACTAATGGAAGAGTTCCGGAAGAAGTTCTTCTTCACAGGAAATCACAAAGATTCACTTCTATTCACAGGAGAGACAGACTCATAACACAGCGTCATTCAGATCAAAGAGAGAAAGATAAGAGATGGGTGAGAAGTGTCGAGACAGGAGACACTGGAATCTGACAAGGGAACGTTCGGCTTCACAGCCATGAACTCACAAAAAAATAAAAAGATCCGCAATCATGAAGGCACACTCGCCGTGAAATTCCAATATGGCCCTGGGCCAATCATCCACTCAACTCCAATTACCGATCCTCATACCCGCACCGACGATCCGAGCCGTCGCGTTCTAACTTCCGCCACTGCGATCATCACCCCGCTCATGCAAACTCGACTCGGCTCGCCCGGATCCCATAGTCCGTCGTGGCGATGAAGCGCGCAGCCGGCCAACCTACAGTCAGCCCGTCAGGACTTTTCGACTCGCATCAAACGCATCACCTAGCCACTGCTTCCCGGAAGCTGGCTTAGGAGTTGAAAACGTAAGAGAGTTTTGCGGGCGCGCTTGCAAAATTTATAATTGCGAAAAAGAAGACAGACAGGGGAGAAGACAGAGGGGAAATCGAGGTGTAAGAGGAGGAGATTCAGCGAGGGGTGCTTAAGGGAAGCCATGTTGATCCTTTGGAACTCAATGTTCAGCCAATCAGATTCGTCGCGCAACAGGAAGACCCTCTTGCTCAACGCGTCTGATTGGGGAGCGAGGGTAATCGAAGGATCAACCGAGTTTCGTGAGCCAAGGTTGAAGAGCGAGAAGGAAAGAGGCGCGGAAAGTAGCATGAGACGGGTATAAGATTCAGAACAAGCGTGCAAAAAGCAGAGAGAGGGAAAAACAGTTGAGATAGGAGAAGAAGAGGAGGGGGAAGGGAGAGAGCGCGGGGGAAGAAAGGCACCAAAACAGTTACAGCTTACTTATGTCCTAAACCAATTCAAAAATTGAAATCACCAAATCCGCTCGCGAAAGTCGACGCGGGAAAAGACAGTCTTATGCCTATCCGTATTCTCACAAAATTCCTAGAGTTTTCTCCGACGTGACCGAGAACATTCATGCAAAGAAAAAGACACGTCGGGTTCCGCTTATTCCGGAATTCCTAACTGTCGAGCTCGATTCCCAGTGCGCTCGCTAAGACGCACACAATTTTCCATGCATTTTTCGAATTACAAAAAGCAGAATTCCAAGAATCAATAGAACCTCCGAAAAATGGGGGCCCAAACAAAGCACCTGAAATCAAGAAAAATGACGGGGGCTTTGTTGGGCTAGTATGATTAAAAAAAAAAAAAAAAGTCCAGGGGTACGAAAGATAGCACGGGGTCGGAAAGTGGTTCGTCACATATGTGACGCGCAGGGAGTTCCAAAACTATGCGATCTCCTGATTGCATGACGCTTTGAACAAAGGAAGTGGGAGGAGACGAAGAAGCAGGAAGAGGTGGGAGGCTCATATCGGCACAATCTATATAAGCAGAGAAAACTGGGCCGGGGTATGAGTTGACGATAGCATCCGTGGCAAGATCTTCGTGATGTATGTTGTCTCGGATCCCATCCTCTGTAGTCCTGTCATATGCAACCCCTTGCCCTTCGAACTTCGGAGATCGTCCAGGTGGCACCATCATGGTCCATCAGGTCTCTGTGTGCTCTGCACTCCCAGTCCAGCACAATCCGTTGAATCAGAGCATGAGTTGACGTCTGATGTGTTGCTCGGGGGACACGTGTCGATTTCTCCAGTCGATCGCCACGCTCAGAATGGTCGTTGGCAAGAAGAGGGTGGGATGAGCCGCCGTCGTGACACGTGGCGGGTATCAGCGCCGCATGGGAATGGGAAAGTAGACATTATACATGGAGGGGCATCGACGGGGAGGGTTGGGGGGGAGTGGGGGTAAGTAGCGGTTCATCCCTTCCTCTGTGATTGGAAGCTCCTCATAGCGGATGATCCGGTGAAAGCGGGGAAATCGGTCGCCGATGTGAGGGAGGGAGGCGAGGTAGTCAGGGAAGAGGGTGGAGAAAGTGCGGAAGAGCGCTGCGCGAAACAACTCGTGATGGTGACATGCGGGGATGGTTCCTGAGATTCCGCAGTAGACTTCTACTGCGTTGCTCTTCTCCCACGCGACACTAAACAGAAGGACGTGCAAACAGAACGTGGGGGTTGCAGATTGAAGGGAAGGATGGGGATGGAAGGTGACGGCTAGGCGGGTGGAGTAAAAGTGACGGAAGGTATCGGGGGGGAAGGGGTTGTGAGGGAAGGTGACGGGGGTAGAGATCTGATAGAGGGTGAGGTAATCAAGGGGACAGCGGGATAATGACCGGGGACGAAGGCCGATCCCCCGCATCGGTACGTGGACGAACATGGGGACGGGCTGAGGTGGAAGGGGAAGGGGATCGGCTCCGTCTCCGTCGCGATGCGCTCGGAGTCGCTGTTGCTGGGTCGCCATCTTCTGGCTCGGGGGGCTCTGGATCCCGGGTCGGGTCGTCGTTGATGCGCAGGTTCGCCTCGCTGGCGAACTCTAGCTGGTTTTTCCCAGCGGCGATCTCTTCCCTCTTACGTGCCGCCTCGGGATATGCCGCCTCTGTGCCTGTGCGCGCCGCTTCTTCCAGCAAGGCTTCCCACTCCGATCCGGCTTCTTCCTCTTCCTCTTCTTCTTCTTCGTCTTCTTCATCTTCTTTGTCTTCCTCCTCTACACTCTGCTCCCCTTCGCTGTGCTCACTATAACTCTCTTCTTCCGATGTTTCTTCTTCGGCGTCGTCCTCTTCTTCGGTGGCTTCTTCTTCTCCTGCCTCCTCGAACGTATCTTGCTTCGGATAGAAGGCGAGATTGATGATTCCGGAGGGTTTTAAGTACTCCTGCCGCGATGGCAGGGCGCTTTCACTCCCCGGTTCCTCCAAGCACGCACTCCACTGAAAATACGGTGCCAATGTTCGCGTAAGAACGTGCGGAGCCGGACTCTCGTCACTTTGCGAAACAATATCAAGAAAGAGGTCGTCGACCAGTTGCGCGAGCGGGACGATGATTTCCTCGACAATTAGTTGGCGATGGCCTGGCCGCACCGATCCAAAAAGAAAACCGAGAAGATCGCCCTCTACGTAAGGTCTCCAAGCCTGGATAATCAGCAGCTCCAGGTACTCAATACACGCCTGATGCTCGTCGGTCCTCGTCCACGTCACCTCCACTCGGGCCAAGCATACAGACAGATCGACAAAAGTCGCGCGCCACACCCACCAATGCCTGGGATCGAGGAGCGGGACTGCAAGGGGCTCGAGCAAGAAGGAAAGGCGAGGATGAAGATCGGATTGCCAGAAGGTGGGGAAAAGAGAGGGAAGACCAAAGGTGGAGAGAGGAGCGAGAGGAGCGGTGCGGTTCATTGGGGGCGTTGGAAGGGGACGAGTGTGGGAAGCATCATTGACGGTTGGCGCGTAGAGGTGTGGATCTCGTCGAAGTCAGTCCCGTATGTTGGGACGAGGTTGCACCTGGGGCGCGCAAGACCGTGATGCCACTCAGTCGATAACTGTTGCGTCCACTCCCGTAATGAGGTCAAGATCGCGGTATGCCGAAGCGGGCTGACCGCGCTGATATCGTCGTTGAGGGCAGCGACCGTGGTGACGTGGCTCGTTCCTGGAGCCGCCCGCCGATGAAATGCTACCACCTCTGCCAATACTACTGCCTGCGGACTTTCGGGGAATCGGAACGCAGCGGCGGCACACACACCTTCGGTGCATAAGAACTGCGGCAGTCGTCGAAGATCAGGACTGAGCCGCAAATGACGAACTTGCCGGATCTCCGAGATGTAGCCACGTGGCTGCAACAGATGATTGCCAAGAGCTTGCACCGTGATGAAACTCATGGCGAGGACGGGGAAGAAGATGAGAGATGGGAACAAGACGGAGAGAACGAAGCGGAAGCTAGATCGTCGTCGTCCTCGTCTTCAGCAGATGAGGGAGACGGAGGGAGATCAGAAGGAGGGAGGGGACGGATGTAAGAGGTATGGCGGACGATGGGGACAGAGCTATGGCTGGCGCTGGCCTCGGACACAATGCGCACCGTATTGGCACCGTTGGGTCCGAGCTCGACAACGCGGAAACAGCCAGAGAACTTGGGAGCGAGTTTCCGATCGCGTGCATATTTACGTACCTGCACCAGGTCCCCCAATTTATATTGATGTTGGGGACCGGCGTTCCCATTTCGGGCCTCGTGGCTACGGATTTGCCTTCCATGGGCTAGATCAGTCATTTTCTCTCTCTTTCGGGCTAGCTTCGGAACGGCCCTTTCCATTAAATCGGCATACCTTTTGGCCTTGGCCTTAAGGGCGGCACGCGTGTCTCTACCCCCTGCTTCAGCAGTTTTCGAGTTGCCCCGGTAATCAACACATGGGAGGCTATTGGTGCAAAGCTGAAAGGGGATGAACCCCGTAGATTCGTGAGGGGTGGCCCAGTGAATTCCGACGATTTGGTATACGATCTCGGGCCACGGACGCGTTTCATGCGCCGCTAGATTTCTACGAAGGGCAGTCTTAATCATGCGATTGGCATTTTCGGCCAACCCATTCGACTAGGAAACGTGGGGTGTTGTGTGTCGAAACGTAATGCCTCAGCGCGCTAGCAATTCCTCTACCTCGCCTTTGAATTTGGACCCGTTGTCGGTTAGAATCTCTTCCGTATCTAGGTGGGTATAGAGGAACCGATCGATGTATGTGGCTATCTCTGCGGCCTTACGGGTCTTGCAAGGGTAGACCTCGATGAATTTGCAAAAATGGTCTATTAAAACTAAAAGGATGGAATATTCGCAACGGTTTGGGCCAGGTGGCATGTTGATATCTGTCGTGCCCATACTGACTCGCTGGAAAGGGTGCTCTACTTCCGTCGGTAATATCGTGTTTGGTCCCCGTATTGGGGCACGATCGGCGGCGCAGACCAGACAGTTGGTGACTACGTATCTGACATCGTCCCGTATATTAGACCAGAACCACCGATTCTGATCTATAGTTGCTTTAGTGACACGTATCGCGAAGTGAGCGGCCTGCTCTTCGTGAGCAGATCGGGTCCAATCATATCTCTGGAATGGATGGGGAACCGTCAACCACAAACCTGATCCGTCAGTTTTACACTTTTCCAGGTGACCGTTGATCCATCAGTAATCCCGGGATCTCTCGGTAGCCCGACGTCTGTCATGCTTAGAAAGATGGTCCAATGGTAAACCAGCCAATTTAGCTAATAGAATTTTATTCGTCCATACTTCCGCTCGCTGGTATTTCTCATCATATCCAGGGCCGTCCGTAGGGAGTTTGTCCGTTCTACACAGAGGGCACTTTCATTCCCTACTATTCATTCGGTATCGAACACATGCACCATGTGCACGATTGACACACGTGGCACAGTCCACCCAATCAACGAATCCGGTCTCAAAAGGATGACAGTCCACCCCATAAACCCGTGTAATACACGTACAAAAATAACAGAATTTATCGGGAAGGGTGGCGAAGAAGGCAGAGGAGGCGAGAGAGGCAGAATCAGCAAGGGAAGAAGGGGTCGCAGAGACAGGTGGGGTAGCCATGGTAAGAGGGGAGGAGAGAGAGAGAGAGAGAGAGAGAGAGAGAGAGAGAGAGAGAGAGAGAGAGAGAGAGAGAGAGAGCAAGGCTGCAGAGAGGGTAGAGCAAAAACCCCGTGTCACTCACTCCTTCGAGAAAATTTCCACTTGCCCGTACCGCAGTCCGTTCTCATCCTTCAGCTCGTTCCAAGGAATCACTTCCTCGCTCTTCGGGACCCTCTCGGGTCGGTGCAGTCATGTCAACCCGTCAGCATTCCCGTGCCTCTCGTGCTTCCGATGACGAATGTCAAAGTCCATGCTGTGTAGCACCGTTGCCCATCTCCCGATCATGCCCGAGTAATCCTTCGATTTCTTCAGGGCTAATAATGGCCAGTGATCGATGTTCAGCGTGAACTTCCGCCCATACATATAGGCTCGAAAGTGACTGATCTCCCACAGATCCGCATAACATTCTCCTGTCGGGGCGGCGTAATTGCACTTGCAGGCAGGCACCGACCTCAACAGAAAGATTCCCACGAGAAATGACCCCATTATTGGAAGGAAATTTTTCAAGTAAAACGAAAAATTTTAAAATTAGAATGATATTTTTTAAGATGGAATGAAAATTTAAAATTTAGAATGTAATTTTACTCTAGAATGATTATTTAATTCTAGGAATTTTTTCTGTTGTTAGACGCGTATTCCACCACGCATTCGAGTCCGCCTGGTCCCACTTGGGCCAAGATCGCTGAGATTGCCTCCGACTGCCAGTCCGTGATGAGGACAAAAGGCTTTTCAGGATCCGGTTTTATAAGGACCGGAGCCGAAATAAGGGTTGCCTTGAGTTTCAAAAACGCTTGATCACACTCTGGCGTCCAAATCAATGGTTGATCCTTTTTCAGCAGATTCGTGAGGGGACTCGCAATAGCCGCGAAGCCCTTGATAAACCTTCGGTAGTACGAGGCCAGGCCCAGAAAGGCGCGAACTTGCGTGATAGTCGTGGGCACAGGCGCATCTCTCACAACTGCCACCTTTTGCGGTTCCGGTCTGAGTCCCAGGTCTGTCACCACATGTCCCAGGAAGGAAATGGTGGTGAGAAAAAACTGGCATTTCTCCAGCGCCACTTTGAAACCGGCATCTCTCAATGCATGCAGCGTCTATTCGATGTGCTGCACATGCCCCTCGTAAGAACTCGAATACACCAGAATATCATCCATGTATACAATCACGCAATAGTTGATGATACTCTGCGTCAGACGAGTCTTCCGTACAAAGTTCTGAAAAGCCATGTTCATGGCTCGCTGAAAGGTTGCAGGAGCATTGCAGATGCCTATTGGACATCGAATCCATTGCGAAGTATCTTCAAACAACACAAACGTCGTTTTCAGACAATCCTCCTCTCGAACAAAAGGATGATGAAACCCATGTCGAACATCAAACTTACTGAAAAATCGAGCACTCCCAATCGCATTCAACAACTCGTCAATCTGGGCAAGGGGGTACACATCTTTGATCGTGATATCGTTCAGCTTTCGATAATCAATACATATGCGAATCCCTCCTGCCTTTTTGGGCACGATTACCACCGGAAATGACCAAGGTCCTATAGCAGGTTCGATCCATCCATTAGCTTCGAATTCCTTAATTCGCTGAAACGTGGCCGGCCGTTGGGCTGGCAAGTATCGATAAGGGACGCAGCTAATGGGTGGATGATCCCTCGTAAGGATGGCATGCTCAATCACGTTAGACAATCTGATATCGTTATCGCGCACACTTAATACTTCTAAATACCCATTCAAAACGTTAATTTGTGATTTTCGAAATTCCAGAGGGACGTGATTCGGTAGAGTGACTATCGGTTGATCGAGCATCTCAAGGGGCATGTCGATCCAATCATCAGGCCGATTCCGTCGGTCATGGACACTAGAGAAAATAGAGCTGCTAGTGCGAACAGAAAATACAGTCGCAATCATCTGGGATTCAGCAGGGCTAATCATTTCGGTCTCTTTAACTGCGGCGTCAGTTCCCGAGTCAGCCGTAGTTTCTTCCACGGTTAGTCCTGTCAAATCCGTCATTTCATGCATCAGATCGGGCACATCGTCGGCGGGAGCTTCGGCTTCTTGTTTTATCAGAGCGATGGTCGCTCCTGTTGTAAGCAGCGGCCTGGGAGGGGAAACAGAAACATCCAGGTATTGTTTCACTTATTGATAGCGCGCTTGGAGGGAAAGTGTTCCCTCGTACAAAGTGCGAGGGGGTTCCAAATCGTCCGCCAGGTCAGATATTTGCAAGATGGGTTCTCCGACAAAGGTCGAGAGACTGACCTGGGTCTCCATAGGCGCGAGTGTGTTATTTCCCAGACTCAAGTGAAAAGTTCGTGTGGTTCTGGGAAACATCCAAAATTCCTCTCGAGTTTCGTGCTCGAAAAGTTCGACTAAGTATTTTCACTCACTCTCACTAGTCATCTCTTCTTCGAACCCCTGTTCTTCGACCCCGCTACTATTATCCGGAGATGAAAATTCATCGTGATCGGGACCTTGAATCATCCCTATCCGAGCAGAATTAGGATTCCTTTTAACTGTTCGGGTTGAAATCCGCAACGGGACTGTTTGAGGCTTTCCTCCTGTTTGCGTAAGCACCAACTGTTTGGAATCGAAATGCATGCGGGCACCTACCGCCATTGCCCAAGGCAGTCCCAACAACACCGAGTATGAGTGCACATCTATGACCAAGGCGTTAACGAGGACGTGTACTCGTCCAACTTTCACAACCACGTTCTCAATGACTCCTACGATATTCATTGCTTCCTTGTCAGCAGAGACGTAGTTGTCTTTGTCAGATGTAGGGACAATCGAGTTGAGTCGTCCCATTCTTTTCACCGTATCTAATGATATAGCGACCGCAGAGGACCCAGTATCGATGAGGTCGTTAAAAGGTTTGCCCCATACTTCACAATCACATTCAGCACTTTTCCACAAACACTGGTAGAACTGGCACGAAATTATCTTTCTCAGCTAAAGAAATCGTAGCTACTCGCACGGCTTCGGGTTCATCAACTTTGGGTTCAGGTGATGCAACACCCTCTACTTCTTCCTCCTTCTTTTTCAACATTCGTTGTATGCGCTGGTATGTAAAGCGCTTTTGATTCTTCTGACATTGTTGCAGCAGCTTGCCATTTGCCGCTCCGGATATGGTGAGCAAATGTCCCACGCGGACCGGAACGCGAATGTCTAGTTGCTTAAGCGTTCGCAATACATCCATTTCTCCTGTCCGAAACTGTCCGCATCGGAGAGAGAGAGAGAGGAAGAGGGAGCTGAGGTTGATGGACGTGGATTTGCAGTTTTCTTTGACTTTTCTCCCTCTTTGCTTTTGTATATAAATTTTGATCTCGGCTCAGGGCGATTCGCCCATTTTTGTTTTCGGAATCTTGACTCGGTTTCCGCCCACACTCGTTTTGCGACCGATCTTGATTTCGTTTGTTGCATGTTTGGTCGAATGAATGGATGAATGAATGTCATGTCGGATTGCGTGTCATTTTGCCTGATCCTTGCCTTTGATTGTCGTTTTGCTTGTCGTTTTGATACCCTCATGAGCATAGTAGGAATTTTGCGTAGTCATCAATACTGTTTCCCTTACTGTTTATCCACTCTTTGAGCTACTGTTGTTACTGCATCGTGCATGCTCAGGAACGATGGCGTACGGGATCACGAAGGGATTAGATGATTGGATAGTGGTTTGTCCAGAAATAAGCCAATGCCTCATGGGGATGCGTGTAAGCGCGATCTGATCTGCGCAGCCTACACGTATCCACGCGCGCCGCTTTGTAACCATTGGCGAACTTGACACCGTCGATATCGGGTAGGCGGGGAAAATTCTTCCCCTACGCACCCAAACGGAAGGGAATTCAGATATCACATCGGAAAATCCCCCTTGCCGATTAGATGAGTGCGGGAGAATTCCATGACACCGCGATGACAAGATGACGTACTCGAGAGACTCAGACTCGTCGTGGGATCCGGAGTATTTCAACCCTTGGGTGAGCGAGTGTCTCAGACGGAGACGCCCGTAATTCCCCTGCCTAACCGAGAATCGATTGTGCCCTAGGGAGTTTCACTGCGCTACGACCAGCGATCCGAGGTGTCCCGATTTTCCCACTTCGGATAACTCGCACTACTTCATATCCCCCGGCTTCGTGGTTATCGCTACCAACTTCCCTCCCTTCCGCCTCCTTCTCCCGTATCACCAGCTCACAGTTGTCCCGTGGAATTCCATCATCGAGTACTGGCCCCGCACGCCGTGCGGAAACTGTCGGCAACGCGGCAACCGACGAGCCCCTGAAAACAGGAGGCCTAACCCAAACACGCGACGACAGGCGCCACGTGGCTGCCCCCAAAGGCCCGACTCATCAGAATCACAGCCATTCCGGGCAGACCTCGCCCCGAACCACCGCACCCAAAACAGACGAAGCGGACGGCCTTGAAAGCACTGCGCATGCCATCTGCCTTATGCTGCACGACATAAACGCCAACAGACCGGAAGGAACTTGCCCTTAGCCTATTGCACTCGTGCCCCTAGAACCTTGCCACAGGAGATCTCAGTTCTGACCTGGGACTCCACCCCCACTTTCCCAAAAATCCTTGGCACACCCCTTTTCGCACTTCCAGGCCCACATCCCACTCCGATCAGGAAGTCGCGCTGGGCGTGAGGTTGGGCGTCACAAACCACTGAATTCGTAGTCCGGGAGTTCTATAAGACGGGGTAACTTGTGCTACCCAGTCTTGGTACATCAGGTATGTCTCGTAAGAGGTGAGGACATCTCCCTGGAGAGAGCGCATCTTCCTCAAGTGTCCTATGGTGAACGCTGAGATCTCACTTCGAGAAACGATTCTCCGCTCATCCCCACCGTATCTGGCGTGAATTAGGGTTAGCTGGTTGCCCTGGTCCGGCAACAAGCATTAACGCAGGCACGAAATGACGCGCCGACGCACCGCTGAGAATGCTTCCCGGTCGCATCGTTGCTTATTACAACTCGTTTTTGTGACTCAACTGAAGTTACCCCAAAAAGGGGAAACCAAAGGAAAAAAAAAAAAAAAAAAAGGGGGAAACTAAGCAGGAGTAGCTGAAAATGAGTTATAATTGCACTCTGGGCCAAGATACGGTTTCCAATTGCAGTTCGGGCAATGTATACAACCCAGCTTTCTGGCCAGGTAGGGTGCCTGAAGTGCAATTGCAAACTGTATCTTGCCCCATAGTGCAATTATAACTCGGTTTTATGACTCTACTGAAGGTACCCCCTCTCCTCCCCCCCCCAAAAAAGGGGAAACGAAGCGGGAGTCACAAAAATGAGAAATGAAGCATTACTTGTGGTGGGCTTTACCACCGTTGCTACGGGCTGTTCGTAACAGCTCCGAGGGCCAAGTCCCACCAGCAGTGTTGAGTTTCCTCGACGCCCGTATCTGGACATGTTTGAGGAGATGTGCGGTTGAGAAAACTGAACGCAATTTTCTGGACGTCTCCATAAACGCATGAAACGCATCAAGATTGGGGTGTCGATGAAACTCAGCGCTGCTGGTCGGACTTGGCCCCGAGTTAAAAAAAAAAACAAAAAAAAACAGAGGCTTTACTGCGCACATCTGGCTGCTGCAGTGGTGGTTCTCCTTTGGTTCAAGTTTTTTTTTTTTTTTTTTGCCATGGCCAAGGGGGGGCATGTGGGGGCATCTTCAGGGCAAGGGTCCCATTGGCAGGAGGGGAGGGGGGTGGGGGAGGAAATAAGGGCAATGGCCCCATTGAGAGTAGGAGGAAAGGAAGGGGTGATGGGGGGGAAAGGAGGACGGAAGGCACGCCAAATCAGATCAGGGTCTGAATTTTGCCGAAAAGAGCGCATCATCCTGAGATTCAGGGGGAAAGAGTCCGTATGCCCCGTCTTCTCTTTTTTTTTTTTTTTTTGGCACACCTCCTTTCTCTTACCCCTTTTCTGCCGCAAGCTCACAGCTGGCATGAATTGTTTTTTATTTTTATTTATTTATTTTAATTCGGGATTTTTTTTATTATTATTATTATTTTTTAAGTTCACATGGGGCAGGCTGCATGAATTGTTCTATGTAAAAAAAAAAAAAAAAAAAAAAAAAAAGGAGTTCTATGTGGATGGGAGATTCCGATGATCCTGGGGCCAAGTCCCATTTACGCTGATTCTTCGTGTCTGACCATTGATCTTGGTATCTACAGTCCAGAGTTGAGAATTTGGGTAAGTGGGATTTGGGGCCTGGGCACCTGATGCTTAGACACTGAAAGTAATCGTTAAGGGGGGTGGGGGGGACTCTAAAGGATGCTGGCCCCCCCTAGTTCCTCCCCCCCCCTCTTAATAAAAGGCTAAGTAGCCCAACCCAATGCAATCTTCTGTAGAATCTGACATGATGGCCTTTCAGGCCGTTATTATCATTATTATAGTATTACGGGGAACCCTGCAGCAGACGCAGCCATGTTCGCGAGAGAACATCTGGAGGCTCCACCCAACCAGCAGGTGGGCGATAACGGCCAGGAGTCAGCTGGTAGCATCACGGCTGAGCATCATATGAGTGGCCAGTCGCTGCACCTCCCCTCCCGTCCCCTCCCTACCAACATCAGCAGTATCTGCTTACTGCCGATCGAGGGGAGGGGGAGGGGGGGGCAGCGGGTGGGCGAAAGCCTACCTCTAGGCAGCAGGATGGGAACTGAACCCATGACATCCTGAATGCCACTTGTGCACCTTACCAACTGCGTCAGGCAGCTGACGAGGACCCGCTTGTTGTCAGCAGCAGGCGCAGATCCCATCCTGGCCCAATAATATCAAGCAAGTAGTTGGGCAAAAACAAAGGGAGTAGAAAACAAAGATCAACGGCTGGGAACACAGCCTCCTAGTGACTGGGACCCTGCCTCTCTGAAGATTTAAAAGGACAAAAGACTGACACAACATGGGAGAGGATGAATCACTCCAAATTATGGCATCCTAGGCCACACCTGTTTTTTTTTTTTTTTTTTTTTTTNTTTTAAATCAAAAGCCCAGGTTGTTGTAGAGGCTGGATTACAGACACATGAGAGTCACCTTCGGCAATCGGCCCAGTGGTAGAGGCCCCCTAATCCTATGGGACATTTGTAAAATTGCAGAGGGGCCAGCTGCCTACTTTTTGTTCGTAGGGACGCAGTACGTTTTTTTTTTGTTTTTTTTTTTAAATTACCACCTCGTGACTGCTGATAGGAGTGATGATACGAGCATGCACTCCTACCAGCTTCACTGGGGGCTCCATTCTATTGGTGGGGAGCGRCACCTGCTGGAAAGCGGGTCCAGCGTCCCTTGACATGCAATGATGAACAATTGAAACAGAAAGTGYTGGGAAATGGGCCCAGTGTCCCTTGTACCTCTTCACCCTCATCAGAGTGGCGCCAGATATGTCAGAGTAGACCTGGTACTRATTTGGATCACGGGTACTGATAAAAGYTGTTTTGCCATAACCACCTACARCAGAACTTAGTAGATATCTTTCAAAYGGAAAAAAMMCTCTCAACTCACACATCGCCTTTTCAGACATAGCCATACCAACTCAAGGGGACCAGCGAAAGAGAGGAGGGGGGAAAAGGGTCTGGGAATTCTGAGGAGGGTCGCCGCGGGATTGAAGGGTCTACACTGGTCCAGTCATGAAATATCAGACGAAAGTCTCTAGGTACTTCCTCCACTTGCCCTTCCTTGATACCTCTCCTTCCCCCACTGTCCAATCTTCCCTCCTTGAGATCCCCCAAGCCAAGCGCCACTGAATTGTTTAATGTGTTGTAGGATTTCTTTTTTGGATGATAGAAATTGGATTTTTTCTTTAATCTTGTTCCATT